ACTCATTCTTACAATCAATCAACACATCGAAAAACAAAATACACATCTCATCACAGCACATCACAGCAAATCAACTCACTCAATTATCACATTATCATTGACTAAATCACAACACACAAATACAAACACTAATACAATAACAATACAACCAATCACTCAACCACCAACAAACACCAATGTCATTGTCTCTCGTAGGCGGCATTCCACAACGAATGACACCGTTGCTCAACAACATCAATATCAGCCACGATCAGACACCCTATCATTATAGGGCGCAAACAATAGATCTACAGGCTAAACAAATCCACATACACCACATTACCACTCACACAAACAAACAACATCTTCACAAACCGTTCTTTATTACAACAACACTCAACTACTACTAACAATCAAATACAAATATAACAAACATTCACCAAAATTAATACTCCATCTTACAATCAATCAACACATCGAAAAACAAAATACACATCTCATCACATCACATCACAGCAAATCAACTCACTCAATTATCACATTATCATTGACTAAATCACAACACACAAATACAAACACTAATACAATAACAATACAACCAATCACTCAACCACCAACAAACACCAGTGTCATTGTCTCTCGTAGGCGGCATTCCACAACGAATGACACCGTTGCTCAACAACATCAATATCAGCCACGATCAGACACCCTATCATTATAGGGCGCAACTAATAGATCTACAGGCTAAACAAATCCACATACACCACATTACCACTCACACAAACAAACAACATCTTCACAAAACGTTCTTTATTACAACAACACTCAACTACTACTAACAATCAAATACAAATATAACAAACATTCACCAAAATTAATACTCCATCTTACAATCAATCAACACATCGAAAAACAAAATACACATCTCATCACAGCACATCACATCAACTCACTCAATTATCACATTATCATTGACTAAATCACAACACACAAATACAAACACTAATACAATAACAATACAACCAATCACTCAACCACCAACAAACACCAATGTCATTGTCTCTCGTAGGCGGCATTCCACAACGAATGACACCGTTGCTCAACAACATCAATATCAGCCACGATCAGACACCCTATCATTATAGGGCGCAACTAATAGATCTACAGGCTAAACAAATCCACATACACCACATTACCACTCACACAAACAAACAACATCTTCACAAACCGTTCTTTATTACAACAACACTCAACTACTACTAACAATCAAATACAAATATAACAAACATTCACCAAAATTACCACTCCATCTTACAATCAATCAACACATCGAAAAACAAAATACACATCTCATCACAGCACATCACAACAAATCACATCACATCACATCAACTCACTCAATTATCACATTATCATTGACTAAATCACAACACACAAATACAAACACTAATACAATAACAATACAACCAATCACTCAACCACCAACAAACACCAATGTCATTGTCTCTCGTAGGCGGCATTCCACAACGAATGACACCGTTGCTCAACAACATCAATATCAGCCACGATCAGACACCCTATCATTATAGGGCGCAAACAATAGATCTACAGGCTAAACAAATCCACATACACCACATTACCACTCACACAAACAAACAACATCTTCACAAACCGTTCTTTATTACAACAACACTCAACTACTACTAACAATCAAATACAAATATAACAAACATTCACCAAAATTACCACTCCATCTTACAATCAATCAACACATCGAAAAACAAAATACACATCTCATCACAGCACATCACAACAAATCACATCACATCAACTCACTCAATTATCACATTATCATTGACTAAATCACAACACACAAATACAAACACTAATACAATAACAATACAACCAATCACTCAACCACCAACAAACACCAATGTCATTGTCTCTCGTAGGCGGCATTCCACAACGAATGACACCGTTGCTCAACAACATCAATATCAGCCACGATCAGACACCTTATGATTATTGGGCGCTACTGGTAAATCTATATGGTCAATGATATTTATTTATTCATCTGAGGAACTAATATTTGTGAGTGAAATATCTTGAAACTAAACGATTCAATGCTATCATAACCTGTATGTGTATAAGAAGAATATATTTGTGTGTTATAATTGACTTTGTCCATCACTAATGCGCAAATTATTCCAATACTTTTTTTGCCGAATTCTGGATTGTTTTAGCTGGCTATAATTTGTTTGATATATTGAATATTTGTATTCCATATTGTGTAGTTAACACTCAATTTTCGTTATATTTTACACTAATTTTTTACTTAAATTGGATTATTTTGTTTTAGCTCATTAGAACTTCATTAGGTCGGTTGTTTCGTCGTTTGTGATCCAGGAAACGGTTTCTCTGATTTTGTAGTTCGCACAGTAAGTAGAACTATTTTGCACTTTGTTTTTTATACTAAAATATATAGACATTCAAAATCAAGTTTATAAACCTTAAAATTTCTTCGATACTATGGAATGATCATGTTTCTATTTTGAGATGGTGGAGAAGATTTATAGCTCAGGTGGATGATTTTGATGGAATTTTGTTCTCTGTGGGAGAGAACAATTAAGAAAGAAGTGCTGGAAGTGAATAGGACACACATTGATGAAAGCACCCCGGTGAGTCACAAGGCAAGCCTTCACATGGAATCCTCAAGGCCAAAGGAAGCTAGTAAGACCAGAGAACACAATAGGTTGAGAAATGGAGACAGAAATGAAAAGAATGAAGAACAATTGTATAGAACTAGAAAGGAAGGCCTAAGACAGAGTGGGTTGGAGAATACTGGTCGGCAGTCTATGTTGCATTGGGACTAATAACAGGCGTAAGCAAGTAAGTAAAGTTTGTTCTCTAAGCTGGATGGTTTGCTTGTGGAGCTTTCATCGTTCTTCTAAACAACATCATCAGTAAAAACGTCTACCTGATGAATGATGAAAGCTTCACAAGCAAACTATCCAGCTTAAAGAACTATCTATTTGTATAATAACATAATCAGAATTCATTGCACAATAAAAACAAATGAAACTCTCAAATCGATATTTATTGGAGTATAGAATAATGAAATAACTGATGTCAAATTAATAATAATAAGAAGAAGAAGAAGAAGAAAAGTTGAAATGAGGTTTCAGTTTGTAAGCGTAAGCCATAAGATTACCATTACACTACTTACCTATCGTTTATACAAATAGTTTCTTAGAATCATTTCCCCTTTTTATGAAATAATAATTATTGATATCAATAAAAGTTACACAAAAATTGAATTGCAAAAAATTTATAACACCATAGTAACTGAAATCTTCTTACCAGATAATATACAAAGAAGAAAAAAACAATACAAAAACATAAACATAAACAACTGAACAAAAACAAACAAACAAAAAAAGGAAGAAATTTTGATAAAACATTATACCCCTTTACAAAACAGAAAATAAACTTTCAATATTGAAATGCATCAATGGTTTAGTGTGTGTGTGTGTGTGTTTTTTTTGTTCCCAACACAAACTATACAATATATAAGAAGAACTTCTTATTTCAAAGTATTTCATTAAAAAAAAAAAGAAAAGAATAAATTTACAAAATAAGTAAGTTTACAAGAGAGAGAGAAAGAGCAAAGAAGGGAAGGAAGGAGAGAGGGAAGGTGAAGAACAAATTCAAAGATTTATTGATTTATTATTATTATTCTATTATTTATAAAGATAAAGTTAAATTTGATGTTGGTCGTGTAGAAGATGAACTTGAAGTATTTGATGATCTGATTAAAACTGATTGACTATTAAATTGTTCAGATCTTAATGATTCGAATAAAGGTTTTCTTTTTAAGCTAACTGAAACACAATCGGATGAATCAATCATAATATCTCTATTATTATTATTATTATTATTATCAGTAGTACCACTACTACTACTACTACTAGTAGTAGTAGTAGTAGTAGTAGTAGTAGTAGTAGTAGTAGTAGCAGTAGTAGTCATAGTAGTAATGTTGATGGAAGTATTGATAATAGTATTATCATTCTTATATGTAGAAGATTTTATACTCATCATATTTGTTTCAACAGGAGACATAACTGGAATTCTTTGAACTGTATATAAAGTATCATTTAAAATCTAAAAATGTATACAAAATATACAGTTTGAGTGTAAATGATCTTGTCAATATTACAATGGATAGATTATGTAATGAATATTTCTAAATTAACAAACAACATAATAAAGAAATATTTCATTTGTTGAAATCATGATTCAATTAAAGTTAGACTACCATGGAAAACCTGAAAGCACTGAACGGCTCTTTCGTCCTACTATGGGACATCTCAGCAAGTGAAATTTCTAAAAATCTCCACAAAATACCCATTCTCATAAAGAAATATTTATTATTATTATAACTATATTGGCAGATAAAACAAATGCCTGAATAGAATTGAAAACCAATTAATGATAGATTTTATAAACTGAAAAACAATTCATTCAACCTAAATAAAATACTACTTATAAATGTGTTTGTTATATTAGAAAATGTTTAGATAAATCACATGTACACACTTTCTTTTGACAAGAATTTGAATGATCTCAACGATTGAAATTACTAACATATCTAGAAAAACCCCTTCCCATGTTAATCAACATATGCTCACTAGTGACTGACTTCAAGATGTATATCCTGAAGTTCTAGTGAGAAACAGTGACCAGTGGGGTTCAATCGGGTCAGTTGTGAGATAGTAACTCATTGGTATTAAGGGTGGATGTGTCGCTCAATTTCGTGGATTAGTTGAAGTTACACATTAACACCATTGGATGCCAGTCAGCTCAGTGGTCTGGAGGTTAAGCATTCGCGTGAGAGACTGATAAGTCCTCGGTTCGAATCTCGAGAGGCAAGATCATGGATGTGCACTGTTGAGGAGTCCCACACTGGGACGAAACGGTCGTCGAGTGCTTAGTTGTTTTTCATGGTGATCTAACTTTAATTGACTCATGATCTTAACCATTGAAATAACTACAATCCCCACAAAACCCCTTCTGATACTAATCAAAAATGTATCACACAAATTAGCATTATTATAAATATTTATTTAGTAAACAAATGGTCTAGTAAGGGTACAACAATTGGTAGTTTAGATAAGACATTTACCTTCCCATCATATCGTTTATTATTACACCAATCAATAAAGGTTAACTGACAATGTTCTCCAACACATTTAGTTGAACAATACTGACCATTCCAACGAGGATCATAGGAAACTGGATTTTTACACGTAGGATTACAGCATTGTTTATTGTCTTCACTTAACTAAATGTAATTTTTTTTCAAAATAATAAAAAGAAGGAAATCTGCTTTTAAACTGAAAGTACAACATTTCACACGAAAACAATGTTACTACCAGAAGTGTATCAAGTCATGGTTAGTAAAACTATTTCTCAGAGACAGAGAGAGAGAGAGAAAGAGAGATCAATATAACTTGATTGAAACTGATAATATTAATCGTTCATTCTATAAACCTGTGAATTTGAGTAACTTTCCAAGTGATAATATTTTCATTTGTGCTAGAACGTGTTTTCCATACACAGAATAAGCAAACAGTGAGAAAGAAGATTAGTAAGCTATTTTTTTTAAAAACCACTATGACACTAACTAAACCCGAAGGTTAATTCCAAATTTAGAAGATTAACCATCTGACTAGTATTTTAATTGAATATCTTCGCGTATGCCGAAGGGTCGCAAGATATGTTAATATTAGTTATTACCCAAATGCTCGTTTTTAGTCCCGTGTGTGGGATTGTGGATGCGCACTGCTCACGAGTCCCATACTAGTACAACGCGGCCGTCTAGTGTTACTAGGTTTCCAATAGTGGTCTACAAACATTGATCTCAATTAAAACTCAACAATCTCCACAGACCTAGACTAGAAATCAGACTTGTTTGATTATTCATTAGCATAATTTTTGTTACAGCAAGGAATTCTATCCGCAATATTAAAATAAATTTCACCCAAGTGCCCTGGGACGGCCGAAGGTGGGTAGAGTTAGCCAGAGACTACAGCCACTCCCAGGAAGTCCTACTCACTGCCTTCTTGCAGAATTACTGTTGTTTACGAAATTGAAAGGACGGAAAGCGGATGTCCGGCAATTTAACCGGGTTGGTGGACGTGGAGAGTCCACCTAGGGGAGTTGAAAAACCCCGATTCCAAACCAATGGTGTACATGGGCTCCAGTATCCTGAAGGAACAAATGGCGTATGAACCAATCGTTTGTCACCGGCTACTATGGCACTGCATCTCTTGACGTTGCTCCACTACCTTGTGGATCAGATCATTAGGTCGAAGACTCCGGGTGTGGCCCCCTAGAGAAACTATCTGCTTCGGTGTGCACTCGGGCAGTATCACAGCCACACACAACCTAGTGACTTCGGTGCCTCCTTGTACCAATATTTATATGTTCAAATAAATAAACATTTTAAGTGTTGCTAATCAAGTGTATTTTATAAATGGCTTTTCAACAGTGAGTATCTGGCGCATCTTATCTTCAATCGTGGAAGATTTTAACGTTTCACTTGCTACAACCAATCTGTTCATCTACTATAGATTGAATGGATGTATTCCACTGTTAATCACTTGCATTTTCCAGTTTCATTTTATACAAGATATAAAATAGATCAAGAGTAAAAACGTGTCACACAAATGAAGGGATAATGTTATGAAGACATAAAAAGGAAAAGGATAGTATAATCAAAACAATAATGGAAAAGTATGTATGTCCAAAGATACATTTCAGGCAGAAATACAACCAAGAAATACTTCATTCGGTTAAGGACATTCATTAAAATTTTATGATGAATCTGATCGAAAGCTACAGCAGGACCATTATATCTTCCTGTTCTGAACCATACTTGACAACGGCTGAAGCTACTGAGTTGAACCATTTCTAGGACCTCAATCAGTGGCTCGCGATACACTCACAGATGTCAATCTTATAAAGTTACCATTCATATCACAGAACCAAGTAATTAACTAACTACCTCTTCATTTTTTCATTCCATCCTCCGTAAATAATGCCTTAGGTGGGTATCTCTGGGATTAAATTCATAAAACATGATCAGGTCACTGAAGTTAGTATTTCAAGACGGTGATACTGAGTGAATTGTTATCGATACTTGGTCTGCTTCTCACGAGCCAGTCAAGGATTTTTTACAATCTGAGTATGACAAAAGACAATAGTTAGGACAGAAAAATTTTACCCCGATAATAATCACACTACTTAAGTAGATCCTTTCAAAAAGTGGAATAAACGATCATTTCAATTCAAGATGACGGAACACTCTCCGTTCCGTGATTAGAATTTCTCGACGTTATTAAAGAGGCCAAGGAGCAGGTCTTTTAGGTTTAACAACCTGTGACGCCTAATAAGTTGGAATTCCTTAAGAATCTTTGCTTTGTCAAGCAGATTGAAAATAACCGAACAAGTAGCACAGTATAATGGAATCAGATTGGCTGGAGTAATGATGGAGTCCTTGCTTTAGTTTCAAGATCATATGGAGGTTACTAACTGGCGTGACATCAACTGTACAGATTATCTCATTGACAAAAGACTTACTTTTAGTATCTCCGATAGGTTGAAACAGCTTCCGGTAGTTACCAGATGCAACTACTCCGTGTAATTCGTTAGCACTCAGTCACCTCTAGATCTGTCTTTAAGCAAGCTTTGTGAAGTTTTCTAAAATAAGAATTTACGAGTATCACCGAATCGCGAGTCACCAAAGAATGGGGTCCCTAAAGGAGATGTAGAGAACCTGTAATACACCCGATGCCTAGAAGAAGGAGGTTTCGCGGAGCCTGAAGAGATTTCATTCATCATTTTTTGGTATCATGCAAACCCAGCTGATGGTCGTCTATACTTTTCGGTGGATTGATAACTAACTCTAAACTTAAGTCGATTTGACATTTGGTTCCAAAGGATGGTGGAGCCCATTCGCTCATACAGATTCATTAAAAACGATAAGTTTGATAGGCACTAAAATACAAGATACAGGGTGGTCAGAATCAAATAGGTACACTGCAAAAAGTGGTAGTTTTGTACACACCCACGCTTGTAGCAGCTGATTGCAATGTGATAAATCTAGGTGAGGGTCTAAGATGCAGAACGTGGAAGCCAGGTAATCCGTCATTAAAAACTTTGACAAAGGTTAGTCATGAATTGATACAGATTATGGTCTGTACAGAGTTGTGAAAGGTACTCACCATCATCTGACCTACGACCATCGAATTTTCGAGTGTTTAGCATCGCGATAGTTTCTAAGCTTTTTTTTTTCAAAAAAATGTGTATATATATATACGGTTGGTATTCGTAATTATTTAGTTCAAACAAATCTAAAACGGGAAATTTTACCGAAATACTTGCATAGTTGGAAAATAAGTGAGCAGGATATTCATTTAGTGATATTACTGGAATAGGTAATGTGTAATAGATGACTTACTAAACTGAGCAGTTTTGATCTACATTTTGATAAAGAGGTCATCTTTTTTGATTCCATTGATCCTACAGAATGTTTCTTGTACTCCTGAAATTATTAAACAAATAAAATGATCATCTATTTCTATCATTGAATAAATTAGAAATTGTGTAATTCTTTAATATCTGAAAGAAAATCAATAGAGATAACCGTGTGTGTGTGTGTGTGTGTGTGTGTGTGTGTGTGTATGTATACATATACGTATATTTCTAATATTAATTAAAAAGGATTACAATAGTTGAGATTATTAATCCATTGAAAACCTGGAAGTACTGGACGATTGTTTCATCCTTAAAAAGGATTATATGAAATTAGACATATAAGTTCGAGTATTTAATGTCATAGACTATGCTCAAATTGTATTATCTTATCGATACTTTATACTCATATCAACTCTTCATATTGTTCCATTATGATTCAATGAATTATCATACTTTCATTAATACATTAATTTCACATTATCACGTAACGTGGAATTATTATTTTTGTTCATGCTGAAATTAAATTATTGACATTTTTACGTAATCATATCACTTACTGAATAAATTATCATTTTGTGAACGTGCCTTTCATGTTATGAGATTTGAAACCCATTGGACTATATTTTTATTTCAATAGTTGAAATCATGAGTCAATGGAAGCTAGATCTCTACGGAAAACCTGGAAGCACTGAACGGCCGTTTTGTCCTAGTATGGGACTCCTCAGCAGTGCGCATCCACGATCCCGCCCCTCACGAGATTCGAACCCACAACCTATCAGTTTTGCGCACGAACGCTTAACCTCTAGACCACTGAGCTGGCCGGCATCCAACGGTGTTAATGCTTAACTTCAATTAATCCACGAAATTGTGCCACCGTACACCAATGTCTTCAGTGAGTTGATATTTCACAACAAATCCGATTGAACTCCACTGGTCACTGTTTCTCACTAGAACTCCATGAAATACCTCTTGAAGTCAGTCACTAGTGAGCAGATGATTATTATCAGAAGAGGTTTTGTGGAAATTGTAGTAATTTCAATAGTTGAAATAATTGAAATCTAATGATTAAGCGCTCGATAATTCACTGTTCTTTAATTGGCGTTATAACATTAACAGGGCACAAGTTATAACATCAACTTTGAATGAATTACAGTAAAATCTTTGTTTAAGTCACACAAAAAAACGGATGACAACAAACAAGTTACTAACAATCTGTATGACTTACTTTTTTCTCGATTTTTGATAATTGATTCCAGCGTTCATCAACTAATTGACATATATCATGGAAACTTGCATTAGGTTGTTCATATTTTATAGCGGATTGAATTTCTTGAAAAAATTGTGAATAACCTATATTTCTATAATAGAATTTGTGTACAACATTGACAATATGAATGATAATGTGTATGTATATACATGAATGATTATACTGATTGAAATATTAACAGGGGAAACTATTGGTAGACTATTAATGAATAACGGATATTATCAGAAGGGGTTTGTGGAGGTTTTAGAAATTTTCACAGATTGAAATCATGAGTCAGTTGAAGCTAGACCACCATTGAAAACCTGGAAGCACTGGACGGCCGTTTCGTCCTAGTATGGGACTCCTCAGCAGTGCGCACCAACGACCCCGCACCCCGCGGGATTCGAACCCAGGACCTACTGCTTTCGCGCGCGAGCACTTAACCATTAGACCACTGAGCCGGCATCCAACGGTGTTAATGTCTAACTTCAACCAATCCACGAAGTTGCGCCACCATATACCATTGTCCTCAGTGAGCTGATATCTCACAACAGACCTGGTTGAACTCCACTGGGTGCGGGATCGTGGATGCGCACTGCTGAGGAGTCCCATACTAGGACGAAACGGCCGTCCAGTGCTTCCAGGTTTTCAATTGTGGTCTAGCTTCAACTGACTCATGATTTCAATCTGTGAGAATAACAGATATGTTAAATTTTTTTAGAAAAAAATTATTTACTCCAAACGATCTTCTTGATCAATTTTGTCTTTAACTGATCGATTGCGGGAAGCTAAGTTATCCTAAACAATTAGTTTTATTTTAAACAAACAGTATATGTACAATTAGAAGTGAACAATCTGTCGAACATCTTGAAAAATAAAGGATGTAACCAAAGGATACGATGTTCAAATAATTTGACAGCTTCATCTTAATTGATTTGACAGTGAGTGAACACGACAGAAAAGCCCCAAAGTTTGAAAAGGTTCATTTATGTATAGAAAATCAAGGGTATTTATAATATTTCATATGGCTTTGAGCTCTCGGAAAGTTCCAGAACCATACTAAACATAGTAGCAGGATCAGTAATCATCTAATTAGAAATGTGACACGTCATTCTTCACTTTCTAAGTATTTCTGAGAAACTTATAATCAATGCTGATTGAATAAAATGTTTCCCAGTATTTTTAGGGCCCCACTGAACTTTTTCAAGAAATAACTAAGATCTACCCAACACCGACAAGCTCATTTCCAAAAAAATCTATATTTAACATTCTAGCATAATTCAATTATCGTTCACTTACTTACGCCTGTTATTCCTCGTGGAGGAGCACAGGCCGCCCACCAGCACATAGTCATTTCATAACCACTATCTGTAACCAATAATTTCGACATTTGACTAGTTCCATGAAGAGATACATACCAGATTGACGAGTGAAACGTTGAAGCTATTGTTAATTCTAATTGCTGGGGTTTTTACAAATATAATTTTCTCTGTAATTCTTTACTAAAGCTCATATAACGCACAAAGTGGATTATAAATTCATGGAAAATTCATCTTTTCTTCCTCTTCTTACCTTTTACAATTCATCTTGCCTTTTATAAATGGTTTATCAAATCATCATCCGACAAGTAACAATTTTCACAAGTCTATTCAGTTTTGTTAGTTTTCGTTAGTCGATATCAGTGCTACCACTTTTTTGATCGATATCTGCACACTGATTCGATAAGGTATGTGCAGCCACGATTTTTTTTAATCAGTTTATTGTAACTATAAGGTTGAAATGTCGGTAATGAAGAGAAGCCACTACACACACATACTTCATTTAACCAAATCAATAATTCAGTTGTAAACAAGAACCAGTGAAAGCACCTCTTTAAAAATATGGTTTTTAACAAATTAAACTGTAAGAGCAATGAAACTCAATTTAAAAACACACAATTTAAAAAATAGAATTCGGTCTGTGGTAAATAGAAAAAATGCCCTTATACGGTCGAGAGTGGGGAGAATCAGTTCTCCTTATCGAAATGCTCTCACATAGTCACGTGCATACAACTACTGTCAGGGAAGTCCTACTCATTGCCTTTTAGCAGCATTACTGCTCTTTACGAAATTGAAAGGACGAAAAGAGAATGTTCGGCTCTGCAACCGGGTTGGTTGACACGAAGCATCCACCTAGAGGGGTTGGAAAACCCCGATTCCAAACCAATGGTGTACATGGGCTCCAGTATCCTGAAGGAAAAAATGGCGTATGAACCAATCGTTGGTCACCGGCTACCATGGGACTGCATCTCTCGACGTTGCTCTACTGCCTTGTGGATCAGATCTTCAAGTCGAAAGCTCCAGGTGTGGCCCCCTAAGAAAACCACTTGCTTTGATTTGGGCCCCCGGCTAGTATCTCAGACCTGACACAAATCGAATGATTTATGTGGCGCATATCTATTAGGTGCCTCCTTGTACCAATGTTTATGTGTCCGAATAATAATAATGATAGAAAATGAATTAATGATCAAAAATGTCTAACTTTTAACTGCTAGGTAAAAAGTCAGAACCTTGTTCAACCTATTTCAGTTTGAGCAGTCGGATAGGACTACTAACTCTTGAGCAGTTTGGCCCAAAATTAAGAACAAAGGCAAGTATTTGGTCTAGATTAAATGCACTAAAATTACATAACTCAGTAAATAGCAAGATTATTCAACAAGGGAAATTAAAGCGTATTCTCGTTTAAAATACTTACATTATTCTATCTGATTTGCCTTTTTGATAGTTTTTATCGCTATACATAAGTGTAAATTGTTTGGACCTAAGGAGCTGCAAAATAAATAAAAAAACTTAGAAGCAAAACGAATCAATTTATGATTTTTTTTTACGCATCGGATCTGATCAACTTAACTTGTTGGTCGTTTCTAAATGGTTTTGCACTAAATAGAAGTTGAGAGTGACAAAATCAAATGTCAAATGTGATATTTACGGATAGATGTGATGTTGTTAATACTATTATTGAAAGTTTTAATACTTGAAGAGAATAAAATTAGCTGAATAAACGAAACGATTTATACATAGTATCGTACAATGTAAAGTAAGGTATGATCTAAGTGGCATTGCTATATTGCAGTGGTCACAACAATCCTGAAGTGTGAAAGATCACAAAATTACCGGTTTCAGTCAAACGTAAAAGAAACATCGGCGCGGACTTGAAAAGCTTGTTTGGTTTTTGCCAACTTGCGTCACCTGTGATGTTGGGCAAGTGTCCGTTGGCCAACCAAGAGGTGAGTATACTGTGCAGCAGTACAATTCTAATTTACCGCTGTGAAACGTGTGTTTTAAAGGCCGAGGACATTTGTAGGTTACTAGTATTTGATCATAGGCGACTTCTAAGCATTTCTCAGTTTTTTTGGAACTACTGAGTAACCAACGTTAAAGTTAGACGTAGGATACAAGGCGAATATGGTTGACCGATTGACGGTGTTGCGAATCTTTGTCGAGCCATATTGTCTATTTTGAATCTCCTTTATTATCATCGGTACTACTCCGCTTAATATCTCACTGTTCATCTTAACTTCATCTCGTTGAGCTGATGTCGTCTGGTGACTTGATACTATGCGTTTTTTTTCCATATCGTACGTTCCTAATTACTGAATTTGATCTAGATGAAGGAGAGAAATACTCTCTAGTTTTATGAAGTTTGATCCAAACTCAACCAGTGTACTTCCAACTTCCACCGAGACTGAATAGTATGTTTCACCTTTGAGAAGTGAGTGCTCACTCCAAAATAACGTTATACATATATAATTTTCTAGCAGCTTATTTTGAGTAAATTGAGTTTTTATTGACCTCCTACTATCATATATTTCATTTAAACCGGTTGTTTTGAACTTGTTTCAGTGTGCTCATTAGTTATTGTATTTCTAAGGACAGTGTAAATATAATCATGTGTAATATCTGTGCCGTTATTTGGTTCCTTTAGTGGGTTTTAGACACTTCACAAAGATTTAACTCACATAAATGGGCCTGAGTGAAAAATTTGATAGTCAGTGTTTAGATGAAACACCTAACACATAAATACATATCTAAGATATAACACTACGGAAATTTTAAAGAGACATATGTCATCATTGTCTTGTAATAAGAATTCGGCATATCTTACATATAGGAGTACAGGTAAACGTTATTACAATCAAACAGAAAAAGGAAAAAATCACGGGATTGATTGATACTGAGGGTAACCATGCGTAAAAATAAAAGATGTGATTTGTTTAACTTTATAAAAGTCCCCGTATATTTCTTACTTCAGTTACAGGTAATGAAGAAGAAGTATCCACCAATTTCTTGAACTCCTCATCAGTACTGGATGAGAAAGAATCAGAATCTTCTGAATCAGATATATTTGGTAATATCGAGTCTTCAGTAGACGTGAGTTGTTGTTTAAATGAACCGATAGAGGAATCATTTTTAGATGGTTGCATAACAGTCAAACTTTTTAGAAAATCATTTTGTGGTGAGTGAAGAGGACGGAAATTAGACTAAAATAATAAACAAAAGGTGAGATAAATCATTCAATATGAATTTGAATTTTAAAAAATAAAAACAAACAACGCCAATTACGAGGGCTTGGAGAAGTATGTTCACACTGAGAGTTGGTAGAACTCAAGATAGGCACAGTTTTATTCATAATATACACAAGAAGCCAGATGCATCTGAATTTCAGTAACTAATGCTATTCTCCCGGAAACTCAAACAAAAAAATACGAGATTCGAGTCACTCTATTATTTTACCAAGAATTATAATTAATTTGCATTTACCATTGAGGAGATTACGGATGTCGCCAAGTCAGTCAGTCAGCTACAACGTAGGACCAGGCACATATATGCACCGGTTCAAGTTGCCATACCTCATTAGCACAGCAGGACGAACACCGGATTCATAGGAGTGGTTCGGTCAATGGTGGTAATGTATAAAAGAAAGATTGCATATAAGGATATAGTACAGGAAGAAAGAATTGGTTCGTAGAAAGAAAGATACGAAGTGATTTTAATCTCTTATTTCAAGGGAAGGTAGAGAGTGTATACACCTACACCCTCGTGATCGATTCTGAGCCATGTCACCAAGAGTCTCCGACCATTGGTTACGATAGTCTCTTTATTCTTGAAGTTGGTGATTGCTAAGAAGAAACGGTTCTGTCCGTAGTTGTAACGGACGGTTGCCGTCATCCAACCACTGGGCAGTGACACTAAAAAGTCATTTAAATGTATTTCAGTTTGATTCACCATACGTACTCGAGCAGTAAAATCGCCTGCTAGAATTACTTTGTCTGAGATTTTAGCTTTTTGAGGGTTAAGAAGCTTTCTGTAAAACTCATCTTTCTCTTCATTTGAACTGCAATCAGTGAGGGCATAACGGGCGACTAAGTGACATTAAATTATGCCCCTATTATTTCGAGTCCTTATGATTCGGTGCAATCTAACAATGCATAACTGAAAGCCTACCGAAATCCAGTATGGGAGATTCCATTCGGCCTTCGAACTTAATACTATACTAGCACCACCGAGACTATAAAAAGGGAAAGTCAAGAACGACAGATTCAAGAAGAGCTAATCTCCCTGACTCTTCAAAGTTCACATGAATGGTCACGCTTGGATTCTGAGTGAGATTTTCGGAGATAGTATATGACGCGAGATTCTTAACCAATAAAGCCTGTTGTTCAGTTGGACACAAATAACATGTACTTTGGAAATAAGTTCTACAAAGCAACTAATTTGTATAACGATCAAATTTCCATTAAAAGCAAGCTCCAGTAATTACTCTAAAACTAGGTTAAGTTCAAATTTACGCGTGGTTACAGCCAGAAACAACTTGTTTCTCAGCATGCTATATCCTTACATATATGGGCGAAGAAAATATCCATCTAGACATGCTGAGCACATATTTCGATAACGTTTGAGTCAATCCCACCTCCACCACCACATCCTCAAATACAACACAGAGAACAATCTAATCAAACTTGATGGATGAACTCTGGGAGACGTGGAAATTTTCAAGTATCTGGGTAGCATCACCGATGGACGTGGAGGATCTGATGTAGGCATAAAGGCGAGGATTGACAAAGCAAGGACAGCATTCCTACATTTAAAGAATATATGGAACTCAAAACAACTGTCAACCAACATCAAATAATCTTCCATACGAAGTCATACTGTACAGAGCTAAAACTTGGAGAACTAACACAACCATCATTCAAAAGGTACAAGTATTTATAAACAATTGTCTACACAAGATACTCACTATCCGTTGGCCAAGTACCATCAGCAACATCCTACTATAGGGGAGAACAAACCATCTTCCAGCTGAGGAGGAAATTAGGAAAAGATTATGGAGATGGATAAGACACATATTGAAGAAATCATCAAACCAAAACTCGAGGCAAGCCTCAACATGGAGTACTGAATGGAAACGGAAGAAAGACCAAGAACATATTGAGCCAAGAATCGAAAGCAGACATCAAAAGGATGAATAGCAACTGTAAACAACTGGAAAGAATTGCCCAGGACAGAGTTGGATGGAGAATGCTGGTGAGCGCCTATGCTCCTCCATGGGGTAACAGGCATAAGTAAGTAACTATCCTTCCAAAATTGCCCATACCCTTGAAACTGGTGGGATGAAAGCGATGCTTTAGATGCTGATTGTGTGAGAGAAACACCTTACTACTGTGTGGTCTTCGAATTTGAAACTTGACAGTTACAAGTATTCAATATAAACCTGAAGAACAAGTTATAATGTCAAAACACAACTCATTTCCTTTTAAAAGCAGTGACTGGATTACCTTTCCAGAATAATAGATTTGCTAAGCTTGAATTAGTGAAAACCACCAGTAAACAGATATGTCTAGTTTAGATTTTTGATTTGTGAACATCGACAACTGATCATGGCGAGTCGGTCAGCTTCAGAGAAACTTTTCTGAATTCAAAACAATTAATTGATGGTGAGCAGCATATTTTACCAAGTTATATGAACTTCATTGTATATCTTTAAACCCAGCCATTTCTAAGAGGTAGACTTTATATCATCGTTGTCTCCGAAGGATTGCTGGCATCCAGTGGCAACACCATGTTAGTAATGCAGAGGTTCGGCATCGTGTGTTTGGTTACAGTGACGATAATTCAATTGGTGTCAGTATCTTGAAACATCGACTTCGGTGGCTTGGATATGTTCTACGAATGTCGTCCCACAGAATTCCACGCCGTGCATTATTTGCCGACTCTGGGAGTGGTTGGAGAAAGCGAAGGTGGTCAGTGTATGACGTGTCGTGGTATGAAAGCTGCACAGGGATAGCTTCTGTTGGTCCTTCACGACTCCCTGGATGGGGTCCTAGAGATGGTGCAACACAGTGGCTAGATACGTTATCAGATATGGCTCAGAATAAAAGCCAGTGGTGATCCTGCAGTAACCTTTTACTTTCTTCACAAAACGTGATCGTAACTTCTTTAACTGAAAGAATTATTTCTGGTTGTACCTTTCTGTTTCCCCCATTATTATTACTACTTGACTACCATACACTAATTTGTGGTCGTTATTGTTCTTTTTTTTTCTTTTTACACGCACCTGACATCCTTTATATCTTCCCACTCTGATTATTATTGCGTGGCGCATATGCATCTGGTGCCCCCTTGTACCAATATTTGTGTTCAAATAAACAAATAAACTTTATATCCAAAGTTTTGACGTAAGCACAAATATTAAATTCAGATATGCATTTAACCACCAAACATATTTAGACTCATGTAAAATTCCAGAGATTTTAGTGAGTGTTAAAAGCAATGATAGCAAAAATGTTGATTATAGTCCAACAAAAAACTATACAAATAAAGAATAAATCAGTGGGGAAATGATTATGTTGTAAACTAACCAATGGCTGGTCATCTTCATCAAGAGCATTATTTGGACTATTCTCTGTGAGACTATTAAAGATATCATCACAATCAGCATCACCATCATCCAATGAGGAATCATCTGATTTGTAGTTAGTTATTAAGGGCATACATTTTTTACTAGCCATAAATAATATTAACCCTGCGGTTTGATACAAAAAAACCCCGAGTACTCCTGCGTTTAACGGTAACCTTTAGAACTGACAAGTAGAAAGATAAAGAACTTATGAAATACAAAGAATATCAATTCGTTTAAGTATATGGCTGTGAAAACGAATTAATGTTGAGTTTCTAAATAATTAGCGGTTATGGCAACTTCAATTTATATCAAGATAAGACGGGTGGAATGTAGAGTCTGACACAAAACTGCATGACTTAAAGTTAGCATATCCAACCCAATAGAGGTAGAACCGGAAAAAGGTAACGAAAAAAAGACCGGACAAAAAATAAACAAACATAATAAACATCACCACTTTTAGAAATAGAAAACGAAGCGAACTTGAAGTATCAACTGCCCTTTAATTTTAATAGATATCAACTTGCCAACATATACAAGACAACAGTATAAATAATTTAACTAATTTGACTTCGGGTTTAAACATTAACCAATAAAATGTTTCAAGTCAAGTATAAAATCAGTTATAAGCAATGTTGAAGCTGGCGTATGCCGGCACTGATTTAAGTTGCCACACCATGTAAGCGCAAAGAGTATTTGTCAAGACAAATACTAAAACGGTAAAATAGTGACAGTAATAGCAATAATTAAAAAAGATCAGACAAAGATGTGGCTCGAGAAAACTCCAACCCGTGGAGTAATGAAAAAAGTTTCAAATAGTTTAAGGACTCAGGACGTAAAAAGGGAAAGGTAAATGGACCTGCATCATTCACCTCAATTTTGAGGCACGCCACCTAGTTTTCAATAACTGGTTACAATAGTCGAGTGAACCCTAACGAGTTAGTCTGCACGTACCAACACGGCTATCATTCAATAGATTAATGAAATGCCATGTCTTAGTGTCACCCCCTCTAGTCTTCTTTCAGATAAATCCAACGAACATTACATATTGAAAAAGTGGATGTACAGTTATAAATGGAAATACTATAAAATGACCGACGAAATGGATGAACAATAACATAATTGGTCATCAGATTTTAGTCCAACTGACAGGTTGTAACTGATTATCATATAACAGCAGGAGATCAATGATGATGGCTTATATGTACGATGATGTCTGTTGAAAATCGTAAGGAATATACAAGCTACAGTCAGATCGCCTTAATAAATTGTACGTATTCTCGTGGTTTTATCCCATCAACCTTCACTGCTTCCTATGCTAGTTGTTACACTGCTTTACCTATTTCGAACCAGCGTGGATAAACAAGCGGGGTGAGGAATAAAAAGCAATCTTATTTGGCTTGCCAACGTTGAAATGGCTTAAACTATTTCAAGACTTATCAATTGAGATTAATTAATCGCAATTGATGAGTCTTCACCAGAAAGAGTTGTCAATCGCATACTGCAGGCAAATAAGGCTTTTAAAGAGACTGATCTCTGAACAGAATTAAGCAACGAAGTGACTAACCATTCATCCTTATACCTGACCCCTACCTTGACACAACACTAATTCCTGACCTTAACTCCCAACACTACTTCCCAATTAAACCTAACTGCACTATCTTACAGTATTAACATAAAATGTTACTGGAATGGACCCTTTTCTGATAAATACGTTATAACATTCTAGTCACAAAAAAACCACGAATGACAGTCAACACGCCAATGCGGAATACGCGCCATGACCTAGAAATCGTAATTTGCTACCTGATTATCTCATACCTGTACTTTGATCTATGTCTAAATGTAGTTATGGATACCAATATGTTAAGCACTCCAAATAGAGTCACGCACTGTTGAGTTCTATTACATGGTTAGAGTTGATGCATCCTATTGAGATGTGAATAAGTTCCCAGCTTGAGATTTCGACCAGCTGTAACTACATTGGTACGAACGAATAACTTTTGTTTTTAGCCAGTGATCATATTGTTATCTTTATATGGATACCCAGATCTATAGGACGTCCTGTAGTGTAGTTACTCTGATACCTAAAGGCTAGGAAGAGTTCAGGATGGAATAAAGGTCAAAGTAATTATACATCACCTCTGAAAAGACTGGGAGTTCTTCGCAGATATATCAAGACTAGCCAAGAGTGCTGCAGTATTACCGAAATATTCAGAATTTCACGAGTCTGTTCGACTTTTTATTGGGTATGACGTCTATCTTCTTTAGAACGTATTCGTTGGTATTAGGAATAATGATCGACTTACCTGGTCCTTGAAATAGTGCTTCATCAACATCTCTGTTATATGTGCTTAAATCGCTGCTATCTAGAATTCAAACCGTAGACTTTCCGACATTCTTCACCTCAGTCCCCGTTTCTGGTCAAAGACTGCTTCCACGAAAATACGTAACTTCTGCAGACGCTACATATCAAATATTTAAATGGTGAATGGTTTTAAAAAAAGACTCTTTCGTCACAGACTGTTTAGGAATTGTATGCTGCAGGAAAAATCTGCCTACTTAAGTGACTATTCACTAAATGTTGTAACAGCAATGGAACCGACTGCATTTATTTACGTCCTGATGAAATTTTCCTCACCATCATTATGACGAGAGTACCTGAGAGCACCCCGTACCATTCATCCAGAGTGCGATTGCTTCTGCAACAAAGTGAGAACAATCATCTGACCTTAATACTATATAGACCTCCTTCCTACTAGAATTGTCCAGTAATCTCTAATGCTGGAAATTCAGTAGGTCATACTGAAATGTTGAAATCTGATACCCCGAGTTTTTAAATAAATGACGAACTGTATACTACCTGTGTTAACAATAAAATCGTCGAATAAACCAAGTGATGTTATTAATTGCTTCTGAATCCGGAAAGTATGTTTCGAAATCGTGGATATTGATAACATATCCAATCATTGAAAACACCCATATTAATAAGATCCTCATAACAAAGTTTTTCCCAACTGGAGGCGAGAAAAAACTCTACCTGTAGCCCTTCTACTGTTACTGCTGGTCCCAAGCCCAGATAAAAGAAAAATATCGGGCATGGGATTAGCAACCACACCCAGTGGACGGTAACTTTGTCTAAATAAACACCAAACCCAAAGTTCATTTAAACCAACCAAACTACTCTGGTAGTTGAAGGTTCTTCATTTAGAAAAATTATGAGACCTTTTAGTTAAAGCCGAAATTCTGTGGAATTTATGAGCCGACAAACCTCCTCACCAGAGCAATGATTAACGTAGGTACATGGAATGTATGAGCAATGTAGGAGACAAGGAGAACTATTCAAGGAGCTATGAAAATTAGAATATACAACTCACTGATTCTCGAAATAAGCGAAACCTACTAGACATTACCTTAACAGAAACATTTGCTCCCGGCGAAATGCTATTGTAATCTGATCTGGTGTCGCTTTCCGCTTGTAGAATTCAGCAAGGTTGATATAGCTTCTCAGCCGTGGAAGTAGACTAATTCGGACCTTATGTAGCCAAGAGAGGAAGGTCATTGGAAGTAAAATATAGATGTATATTTACTTGTTTACAACACGAGTACTATGTATTGAAGTGACGTATAATCTGAACACTGATACACTTAAAAATATCATTATTGTGTTTAATGGAAAAAAGCGGGAAGCCTGTTGAAGTATACAGTGACAATTAACCGAATTTTGGGGGTTTAGTCTCCGAACTAAGTAAATTTGTTCAACAGTGAAACCAGAAAAGGATGACTAATGAATTGTCAACTACACAGATCCAATGGCATTTCAACTTGCCCTTATTTAGCCACACAGGTGGAGTATGGGAAACGACGATTAAATCAACACAGCGGCTGTTATTATTGACCACCAAAATACAGTATTTTACTGACGAGAACTTTAAACAATCGGCTTTTAACCCCAGTTATCATGGACGCTAACGGTAAACCAGGTTTGTCCTCAAATATTTTGCTGTTGTTGGGAGAATGTGACAGAATGGTCAAGGAACGTTACATCAGAAATAAGTATGACAAATGTTGGAAACAGGTTAATTATCAAGCTGATGTGTTTTCAAAAAGGGAACTAAAAAAATATTTACCATCCATACAAACACGTCACAAATGGTTAGTCGAACGTCGCAGTTTCCAGAAAGAAGACACTATAATTGTAGGTTCGGAAGTTTTGACTCGTGAAAGGTGGCCCTGAGAAGTGATAGAAGTTTGTGAAAAAATAATGACGGGAATTTTGCGAAGTAAGCGATCACGACCGGTGCATTTAAGGTCATTTCCTGTGCCAGAATGAATTAGTGATAATAATCTACAACTAGAGAAATTAAAATGAAACAGCGAGCATGGAACAACAAAGCAATAATTACCAAAATATGTCGATCAGGTTCACCATAATGCATGTGTCATGTGACACTGTGATATGCCATTGATGTTTGATATTATTCAAATTAGTTAATGTTACTAGGGGCAGGGTTAACGTAAAGTGACAGAAGATAGGTGGTTTCACTTAGGGAGTTCACTAACAAAAATGTCTAAACATTCAAAGTTCCTATAATCTCACTTGCGGAATAAGAAACACCAACAGGTGCTAGAACATTTAATGCATTTTCAGACGAGCAGAATGCATCAATACAGCGAACAAACTCGAAATGGTTTCTTTACAACATTTACGTGCCCATAAGATGTTCGTTAATAATAATAGCAACAGAGAATGGGAGTGATTTTATCGTACGGACAGATTGTGTTGGATTATTCCAGAGTCAAAAAAATTGCAGGTAGAGTAATTCATACGGAGAGATGATTTAGAATGAGTGTGTTTCACAAATGACAAGGAGCTACGAATGTCGTATTAAGAAGTTTCTGCATATTAAATCACTTGATTTGATAAAAGGATAGTTTATTATTTTAAAGAAAAGAATAAGATCGAGTTTTTGTCTTCTCTTCCATAAAGGGTCGAGCTCAAGCTTAATAAATCTAAAATTATTAACCAAGAGTAAGAAGTGTAAATCATCTCAGTACTGATTCCCAGCCTTCATTTATCCTTTGTGTGCGCACTACTAAGAATAAACGTGCAGTGTTCTAGAAGTGGTTGAACACAAACTTCGTACATTGAAATACGTAACTCATTGTTAGAAAGGTTTCGAAT